CACTGGGGAGAGGTCATTGCTGAGAGAAAGGGATCTTCAATGTAGGAATGCCATTACAGGTCTTGAAATCTGGGCAAGTATCATGTCTTTGAGGCGGAGGGAGAAGTTGGGAATGCCAGGTAACTGAAAATGTTCCGCAATTTGACAGCCAATTTTCAATCAATCGGGACTCGACAAATAAAATGATGATATTAACATCATATCATTATCATTCAGATTCAAGATGTAACAATGTACATAGCTATCGGGTGCTCATTGGTAGCATGGTATCTATCAGCATACCAAAGGATAAAACTACAACCAAGCAACCCTGGCTCCCATTGGAATCACTCCTCCCCACACCCCCTCTCCGACCCTCCTTCTCACCGAGATCGTGCAGTTTGACGCGCATCGACAGTGTGACGACCATGCTGGTCTGCTGACGGGGGAAGGCCACGGTCGGACACTGCAGTAGCACACATGACACGCCCGGCTCCGTGCAGTTCATCACCGTCGTGCCGTTAGAGCCGTCGTACGGCAGTTTGACGGCGGACAGCAGCCGGCGCTGCTCGGCACTTAGTTCGTAATTTGGCCGCCAGGTGCGAGGCGCCTCCTCGAAGCTGTCGCCATCCTGGTGAGAAAAAAAAAAATGGATAGGGTTACGCAGGGTGGCTGGAAGGCGACGGGATTGTTTGAAAAGACTCATATAAAGACTGAGAATTGCATGACATTCAAAAAGAACAAGGACGTCAGAAATTTGTACGAACAATCTGGAATTATTTTCAATTGACGGTCCAGGCAAGAATCCTCGAATCTCACAGTTGCATGCATAGTTGTCACTTGTCAGCGCTCTAATACTCAATCATCCTCTAATTACAAACAGCCACCCTCCCACTAACTCTGGCCAGATAAAAGCCGCTAACCACCCACCTTGGCCAGGTAGTAGCCGGTCTGTATGCTGCACGTCAGCCGCCGGTTCTCAATAGTCGCCTCAGGTCGGTACAGGTCCAGGAAGCGGACGTGATCGCCGCTGCGCTTCGTCATGTTGACCGGCACGAGGAAGCTGACGTTGACGGCCTGCACGGGGGAGGGCAGGTAGCGCAGCACCTGGTACCGGTGCGAGACGATCACGTAGTTGGGATCGTTCCGCTCCGACTCGTCCCGGTCGGCCTGTTTGTCGTAGTAGAGACGCGCCTGCTCCAGCGGTTGACTGTGGGGCGAGAGAGACGGGGGTCAGGTCACGGGGACTAGCGGGGCAGCAGGGAGGTCAGGTCACTGGAGTTGAGCAGGAAGGGGCTCAGGTTACAGCGGTGGGTAGTCACGTTGGTCACAAGCCGAGGGATGGGTAAGGGTGTTAAGTTCGCCTGGGAGACAGACGCTTTTCCGTAACCCCGAAACAGACTCAGACTTTTTGGAACCGATTACCCGGTGGGCAAAACAATGAGTGGCGACTGGCGATGATGTACCTCAAGCAGGACCACCTTCACAAGACTTGACTTCGAAGGATTTGGGGCGTCATTAGCTGATATCTAACCCTCTGAGCTTACTAACTAGAGTTGATCAAATGCGGTTTGTTCAGTCTCCGCAAAAAAAAAACGGAGCAAAGTCGAAAAGGAAACGTGGGATGATCCGGCTCCTCCCACCAGCCGAGCATCTCCTGAAGGTATGCTCCGACGCGGATGCAGCAGCTGGGAAGTCCACCGCCTCCACCGCACCCAGCGCGGTTCTCGGCGGATATGATATGGATATGGTATGGCCGCTATCTCTCGCCATTAGCCTATAGCACGCAGGCGCCAGGCCGGGCTTAGCGTGGGTGGGGTGCCCTCGATCAGGTATGAATGCTGGGTCCTGCCGCACCACGTGGGAACAGCATCACCGACAGGCTAACACGCGTTAGCTCACCGCACCGAGGCGGCTCGGTGGGCCACTTTTGCACGCGCTGGCTGCCACTCCCGCTGTCCGTCTGGCAGGTAAAATGTTCAAATGCTGCCGTTTGAGACTCCCACTAGCCGGGCGAAGAGCTGCGTGCTTACGGTTGGCGGCTCACGGCTGGTGCGTACGGTTTACCACGTTTTCAAGAGTCGTCTGCCGTCATCATTATCCAGCAAACAAAAACGGCTGATAGTTTCATTCGAAACTATCTGCGGTTAACGCGATCCTAGTCGGCCTTCGGGCCGACCCCGGTAGTCATCTGTCCTTCTCTCGAACGGTGTGCCATTTAGGCTTCTTGCTCTTCCACCATCGAACCAAAACTGGACAAGTTTATCTCGCCGCAATTCAAGTGACCTTTTAAACGATATAAGATAGGATTCCCCAAGAACCCTCGAGATACCAGAGTGTAACGAAGGTTCAAGGTTTCACTACAGTTCGAAATGGCTGCCACTTTCATCGAAAGCGAAACTAGCTTATACCCTAATTAGCTAGCTAATATTGACACTAGCTAGCTATGCAAAGCCCTTCAATACATCAATTCAAACAAAACCTTTTTGAATAGTACCAATGCCGGTCTTAGCATGGATTGGTCATCAGTTTATATATCAAAGGACTTCAGTACGTATGTACATAACTACATCGGCTACATTACTAGCGACATCATATGATGCGGTATATTGAGAGCTTGTTCCGAGATGGTTTGGCTGAATGCACAGCTAAGAATGACATGCAGGTATTCATGCGGTTAAGCCAGCTAACGGCATGGCCCTGCATGTGAAGATCTTGGGCACTTAAGCCGAATTTAGGCAATTTTTCTCAGAACTTAACACGCGCGTGTCAGCTCGCTCAACGCGCATAGCGGGCAGATATACCGGCAGTTAGACGAAGATCCGGCTCAGCATGCTGCAGTAGCCTTGGCAACACGAATACATGTACTTTTGAATTATATAAAACCATCACTCTTACCGTTTTCGTGAACGGTTATCAACAGCCTGTTCAATCCTAGGCGTCGTTTATGAACGGTGAGCAGGAATTTTTTATAAAAAGGGAAGAAGATTGTGTCACAGATATTCAATCAAATGAACGGTGCGAGTCTGTTTGACGAAGATAAGTATGACACTTAGCTCTTTGGCCATTTCGGGAGATGATATGATCATCTCACGCATAATCATTCCCCAACCGTGACACTGAGAACTGTTCAAACAGACGTCACATGTAGGTACAACGAAAGTAAAACTGGCAGTTTAACTCTGCGTAAAGCCACTCAGTAAGAGCGGCTTATCGTGCGACGAGACGTGATTGTCCAGTCCGACAGCTGACAAATGCACAAAATCTGATAACGGCATCAGATCGGCGGTCTTCGGGCACTTTATGCAAACCCAGGATCGAGTGAGACTCATCCCGTCAATATAGGTTGGAGCGGGACTAAAAACTGTCCAACTGCGGTCATTCATTTTCAGAAATCGGCCCATAGTCCCGAGAGATGTTCACCAATTGACCCTAATCTTCGTCGGAATAGATTACGATAATGCAATAAACTTCAACTCCCAGCAAATTTGGGAAGCCCACAACATGTTCTTTTTGCAGTAGCTGCAGTAGCAAAATGGTCGCATAAATTGTGGTTGGTTGATAGACATATATGAAACAGTGAACGTAAAAGTAACTACCTTTATGTTGCCCTCAATTAGCTGTGGTGTAACTCGATTTTTCTCAGGGTGTTGCTTTTGCAGATGCTGCATTGTCTCTAAAAAAGACAGCTTCTCAAACTAGGTCATTTGCAGCCAGGTTTTAGGCGTATTTTGCTTAACGTTCGTCTGCAGCAGTCATCACTGATGTGGTCAGATCTCATCAAAGTATTTTCTGTCTGTTTAATGATCACCAGAGTCCACACACAAATCACCTCCGCCACCTCGGTAGTGCTGTTTGTTTATACCTACCGTAAGGTGGGGCTATTTGAGACAGTGGGGCTATTTGAGACAGTATTTAAAATTGTTATAAAATAAAAAAAAAAACATTTGAAATTTATGCTTAATTTTTGCTCAGGCGATTTACTGCTCGATTCCAAACCTTCCTGAGCAAAAATATCACATAAAAATCAAACGCTCTTCATTTTATAGCGATTTTAAATACTGTCTCAAATAGCCTCACTTTACGGTACCCTACCTGTGGCAACATCCCTCTCCTCGACGTTTCCCCCTCAACCTCCTTCAAAATCCCACCTCATACCGATCACCCGCCACCTCGCAAATTCCTCCTACTAAACCCCCAGCATGCCCCATTTCGTAGCAGCCGCCCTATTACTCAGAAAACCCCGTCCGACACCCAGCCTCCTCCCCTCCCGGAGCAGCGCCCGCCTCTCCCTACCCAACTCACCCAATGACGGCGATGTCGGCCTCTGTCCTCAGTCCCAGTGTAAAGTTGCGCACGTTATCCGCCGGCGCCACCTCCTCTCCTGCCGAGGTAACATTCAGGCCGATGGTGAGACTCTCTGTACCGGGTACCAGCTCCTGGACGTCGAGCGCCAGCCTCAGCCGGCCCTCGGCGCCGGCCGGGAACGGGTGCGGTCGAATGTGACACGTGAGGACCACGCGGCCGGACCTCTCCCGTTCGGTGCAGAGCTGTGGCACGCGCACCAGACGGACCGGCGGCGGCAGCTCCACCTGGAGACGCAGAGGGGGGGGGGGGGGTAGTTACAGAGGGATGAGGGAGGTAGTATTGTTTACAACGGCCTTAACCCATTTTCACTTTCTTTGACATATGGAAATAAGATGCATCTAAAGCGGTCACTGATTTACTGTAAGCTCAAAATCGGATGTTGTAGGTTTCCCTCATCGCGTGCAAGCATTTTTAAGAGAAGCTTTGGCTAAACATTCGCCCTAACGCAAGGGGTGGTCGCATTACCCTCCCTCACATAAATCAGAGAATGACAGAATTGGCAGTGCAGGTTAAGCTTTAGATGAGTGCAACTAAGAACCGGTTCATACAGATGATGACGTCATCACATAGACACTTTCAATGATCCGTTGGTAGCGTTAGCCGTATCGCCGTCAAGGTATAAAACCGGCCTCGGAGACGGGATCATCACTCGGCCCGCTCAGCCCGACCGTCTCACATCTCACACCAGCCAACCACTCAGCCATCATGAAGACGGTAAGTTCGTAGCACGAGGAATGTTAAGGATGCTAAGGAGCTATTGAAATCGAGAACATTTCGCGAAAATACCAACTTTATTAGGCCATTGGTAGTTTATCGTTATATGCCAACCACGAGTCCTTCTTGGTTCCAACAACACGTCCTCGTTTCAGATTGTGTTCGCCGCCCTCTTGGCCGTGGCTGTGGCCATTCCCCAGCAGGGTGCCCGCATCATCAGCCAGAGGTTCGACATGGACCAGCAGGGCAACTACGAGTACGGCTACCAGCAGGACGACGGCACGGCCGCCGAACAGGTGGGCCGCGTGCAGCGGGGCCCCGAGCCGGAGACGGGCTCGCTCACCCAGCAGGGCAGCTACACCTACGTCGGCGACGACGGCGTCACCTACACGGTGTCGTACATCGCCGACCAGGGTGGCTTCCAGCCGCAGGCGTCCCACCTGCCCGTGGCGCCGGCTCAGCTCCCCGAGTACGACCAGCTCAGGCAGCAGTACCCCCAGCTCTTCTAAACCACCGAACAGTTACGCATATGTGCCACGAAGGAAGTGATCGATAAAACTGTGATTGGCATTGTTTGAGTTTTGTACGAGTCTCGTAAATGTCTTAATCGTATAAATAAATATCTCCATATGACATGAGAGCTGGCGTCTCTGGAATTTGAATGAAATAACCCCGCGACATCCAGCCATATTATTTATTCCCATGCCTCTTCACGACGCGAAATACCCTCCGAGCGCCACTTACATCAGCTGAAGTATTCACTGGGAGGCGGACAACTATCAAGGCTATATGTAATCCAGGCTAAGCGGTCAACAACCCAACCACAACTAACTAGACGGACACCCTAGCGGTCAGGGCTGGTCGGAGCGGGAGGACCGGCTACAGCTATCGAAGAGAACAATGTTCGGCTAGTCCTCGTTAGGACTGGTGAGCATCCATACACCCTGCATCCGCCAGTCTCCGGTACTGGTTAGTATTTTTCTCGTAGGTACTCCGGTCAGCTCACCGTACCAAAGAACGTCCCATCCCGACAGTTCAAAGTACCGGATCGAGAGCGCCGGCCGGCTCTCGATTTCGATTCGTAACAAAGTCGTAGGTATTTACGGCTGGGTAGCTAATGAGTAAATGAGATCAGACTTTCTGGTAGTTTGCGGTTGTTCCGTTAATCAGTACCACTACTACTGCTAAGTAAAGATGACAGGTATGCCATCTATCCAGAGTGGGGATCTGATCCCTGGAGCACACTGAGGCTGGGAAATTCCGAACTTCCGGCCGCACTTTGCGGTTGCCTGACGCACCTGTCATACAATTGCTGCGTACTGGTCAGGCTACCCATCATCTGTTGCGAGCGGGAATGTCCTCTTAACACACCTAGCAGACATTGACCCGTGACAGCTCACCGGCGTGACACGTAGACTCTGCGGAAACTATGAGGGGGAGCTCGCATACATTTGGTTTCGCTGGCCGAGGGGGCCATCGGCGGTCACCACAAATGCCTCGGGCTGACTTGAGAGATACGCTTCCTGGATTAACCTGAGTAGCACATTGTGTTCGTACTAACTTGTGACTTGTAACTCTGAGACGCACTGTTCCCATAGTGCCATGACTGAACTGAGCGCTACGTCACCCGGACTCACCTGAACCTGCGGCAGCGATGCCGGCTCGCCGGCGTTCGTCACGTTCACATCCAGGTTCAGGGTGTTGGACTCGCCGATGACGAAGGTGGAGCCACTGACGCCGGCGATGGCGGCCGTTACGCTCAGGTCCGACTGGCAGACGGCCGCGCAGCCGATGGAGAAGGGCACGCTGAGTGTGACCTGGGTCTGACCGGGCTCGCGGCGGTTCACCACCGGACAGTCGGCGCAGAATTCAGACAGGTCGCCAGACACCAGCGGTGAGGCTGTAAAAAGAGGGGAACATAGTGAGCAGCGGCGTACAGAGAGCGGGGAGAGGTCAGACTGGTCACCAGACACCAGCGGAGAGGCTGTAAATGGAGGGCATTACGGTGAGGGTAGGCACATAAGCAGCTGAGAGAAGTCCGACAGGACGCCACTCGCCAGACACCAGCAGCGAGGCTGTTAAGGGTAGACGAGTATTATGAGAGGCGGCGCACAGACAACGAGAGAGACAGGTCGCCACGGTCAGGCACCAACGTCGAGGCTGCGAAGAGAGAGAGAAATATTGAAAAAGGCGACGCACGAACAGCAAGATGAGGGGCGGACAGCGGGGGCGGTACACTGACTTCCTTACGGAGACCAGACAGCGAAAGTCGCCAAGGCACGGTTAGACACCCTCATATATGTGCTTGCCTCAAAAGAAGCTGAGTGCCAATAAGAATTAGAAAAACAAGACTGAAAATATTATATGGGCACAGTTTCTTCATTGAAGACCACCACCTAGGTTTGAATCAAAATTGCATATCGGAATTCGGATCAGACCTCTAGTCCCCTCACGCTATTAATTAGGCTGCGCCTAAAATAATAGACTGCGATGGATTGTGGTTTTGTCAATGATATTGCACGCAAGGGCTGAGTCCACGTTACGAAAGTGATTAGATACGGTGCATTTTATGAAGACCGGTCGGTTACACATTTCAAGGCATAATCGCCACATAAAAAAGTTTAATCTCTGATACATTGAAACTCAAGCCCATGTCAAAACAACCAAATCAGTAATTACAGAAATCCAAGAAAATCGCCGCATGTTTGGGCAATAGCATTGTTCGATGCATGAAAATGTGGTCTCATGACATAGTGGCTACGTGAGCAGCAGGACAGTCAGAGGACCCTTAAAAGTCGTGCACTTGAGAAATTCAATCAATAGGATGCCATCTTTTATCGTAGCATTGTAGCACTAACTAGCTGTTAGAAACCGAAAGAGAAAAACTCGTCGATATGTTCATAATTTAGGTATAAAAGAGGAAACGAAAAAATGCAGCAGTCTGAACTTCTATGTCCTGAATTCCCGTGTTCTACGATAAAAATTAAATAACTTAGACATCAGAGTTACAGTTCACGGCGTTTTTGTGCATGAAGTCAGATGAAAAGGTTGAAACGCTTTTATGGATGCACTGTTACAACTTACAGTGATCTCAAGTGGCGCATTAGCCTAGGTAAGTACATCAGGCAAGGGATTTTACCGCCTTGTGGTAAAAGCACTAAGCAGTAGTTGTTGCTATATGTCAGGAATGCTGTTACGTGGCAAACCTCGTGAAACGTTACATTTTGGTAGCCTGACCCAAGGTAACTAGCAGCTACCTACGAAAGGACCAACCTTGTGCAATGTGCAATTTAGACGTCTCCTAGGTTCAGCAATCGCCAAAACTTATCGTCGATTTATGGCACATCTTATGTCCTTTATTTGATGTCGTGGGATTTACATCGCTGATCGCATGAATTTTCTTGGATATACGGCCTTGCCGTAGTTCCGACATAACGAAGCTGGATTAACATTATCAATCAAACACTAACGGAACGAAGGGCTTAACGTCATCTCTGTCAAAATTTATCCAACATCGAACAACTCATCTAATAGCATTGGTGGTGAATAGTTTCAACTTCCAGTCGGGGCCCCAAGCAAAATGCGCATATTATCTTGTCTCCATAATTCTCTCAGCATCCATCTCAGGTAATATTAATCTCATCCAATCCACAGTAGGGGCATCAGTCTTCCCTCGACACCGACCGGTAGCGCGCTGACACCGGTATTTCCAATACCAGTCATAACGAAGGTGATCCGGCGGCGTGTCACCGGTCTTTGTCACCATATTCCATAAAGAATCCACGCCTCGCCAGTCCCACGAACGCAGCTCCACTGGTGTTCCTCCCAGTCGTCCACCTGCAAGCTACCTTCTGCACAGTATGGACGCCCACGCGTGCCCACCGTTATCTCAAGATCGGCAACCGTCAGGGAAAAACTCGACCGCACTGATACGAGCTTCCAGGGCTTCGTGCGCATTACGAAACGGATCTTTAATGCCACGCCTGGTCTAAGATGCTCTCTCGCTCCACGTCAGCATCCGATCTGCCGGCGCGGGGCGGTGCGGCGCCCTCTGCCCGTGTCAGGTATAAAACCGGCCTCGGGGACGGGATCATCACTCGGCCCGCTCAGCCCGACCGTCTCACATCTCGCACACAGACCAACTCAGCAGACATGAAGACGGTAAGTAAAACCGAGATATCTGAGATAGCTGCAGGACTATTCAAGGATGTGGAGAAGTGAGAGGGCTATAAGAAGTGAAGAAACTTAGCGAAAAATTAATTATTATTGTAGAAAATCATTTCATGACAACTTCGGGCCCTAATGTGTTCATCAAATCATTGACGGCGCGTCCTCGTTTCAGATCGTGTTTGCCGCCCTCTTGGCCGTGGCTGTGGCCATTCCCCAGCAGGGTGCCCGCATCATCAGCCAGAGGTTCGACATGGACCAGCAGGGCAACTACGAGTACGGCTACCAGCAGGACGACGGCACGGCCGCCGAACAGGTGGGCCGCGTGCAGCGGGGCCCCGAGCCAGAGACGGGCTCCCTCACCCAGCAGGGCAGCTACACCTACGTCGGCGACGACGGCGTCACCTACACGGTGGCGTACATCGCCGACCAGGGTGGCTTCCAGCCGCAGGCGTCCCACCTGCCCGTGGCGCCGGCTCAGCTCCCCGAGTACGACCAGCTCAGGCAGCAGTACCCCCAGCTCTTCTAAACTGTGGACAACTGTGTTCAATGCTTTCAACGAATGCCATGCATGACTTACTGTGATCTGAACTACCGTGCCAAGACCGTTTTACATAATACATGTAAGTAAACACGATCACGTGCTGTCTGTTGGAGCTGTGTGCTGCGGGGAAGCATATGGAAACGGGGCACTAAATGCATGAGCATATCGCGCGTTTAAAGCATTATCGCTGTCACACGGCGTCAATCGTGTGTACGATTTGTGATATGAATGCGGTGTGATCTTAAAAACAAAACGCCAATGCCGTTTCACTTTAAACTTACAAACGAGAAAGAGCGTTTGTCACCTTCCATCCAACACCACGAGTATAAACAAAACTGCGGGAGCACTTCAAACTTTTGCTTTCTTATATCTAGAGCAGTACCTATGTCGGAATCACAAGGTCGGCGTAAAATCTTAGCTGTTTCTCGGGAGGGACCCTTTCCCCCAAAAAAATATCGAAGAAGTATTTAGTCTAGGATTAAATTACGTTAAGTAATTACTTCATAATTTTGCAAAAGATTGCAAAATAAATCAAATAAATGCAAATACGAGATGCACTTCATGAAATTACATTCGGAACGGACGAAATCGACACAGATAAAAGCATCGATGATTAGATAAAAGAACCGGGAACGGATATTCGAGGCAGCGGTTGACCTTTTATAATTACTTTCATCCATCAAGACACACACTCATAAACCGAATGCAAGGACCTGGACATCTCGCGAGTCGCTACGTTGGCAAACGTCGGCAAAACTTGTTGTCGAAGCGATAACGATTGCTAACGCTATCTTGTTAAAGAACTTAACAGATTTACCGAAAAAAAGACGATTATGAGAATATTTTACCGCTATCGAGCTATTGAAAGGAAAATAAAGCGCGTTCATGGATGAGATACAAGTGTTATCTCATCCATGGCGCGTTTGATATTTAGGGTTCAATGCAAAAATTCCAGGCAAGGTCTCTGGTCCTGTATCGCATTTGACGTAACTTAAATCCCATTAAATATTCGAAATTGCATTGCAGCAAACCATGCTGTTCTCCGCTTTCTTCGGTTCACCTATTTGACCAGAGATATTTAATGGATCATAGGCTTCATTTTATCAACCTATAAAAATGATTCACCCTCAAAACAAACACATCATTAAAAAGTCGAAACTTCAATACCTAACTACCAGCAAAATTGACGCAGGGCAGGTGTCCATCGATATCTTGCCCGTCCGTCCGCCGAAACTAGACAACTTTCAGACCCACAATCTACACCTCCTTCTGCAGTGTCAGACGCGACGTGAAGCGGCAACTCCAACTCGGTCTGCGCCAGGCCATGTTCCTATTTACTGTGTGTGTTAGTGTTTTGTGCCCGTATATTGGTCTGAGTGACTTACACATATTGGCATAAAGTATAAACAACAAAGCAGTCGCCTAGGCATTAGGGCAGACGGGTCTAGCTTCACGGCATTTTATTTTTCCGCGAGAGCAAATTATACCTACTTAAATATTTCCTTCTTTTTCTGTCTGACCCTAAGGGCTTGTGTATCTTGCTTGATATGGCTACTGACAGAAAAACAAAGCAACTACATACGTTATTGCCTGAATTATATGTCCTCTAAACTGCTCGTACATGCATGGTCGACTGTTATATTTAAAGTAAGCTATTATTAGGATGTGGAAACACATTCTAAGACTAAAAAAGCTGTTTCGCCAGTCACAGGCTTGCTCAATGAAGGACCTCAGTTGAGATGATAATGCGATCCTACTGGTTTGCAGTACGACTAACTAGTTCATCCTGTTAACTCTGCAGCTTTATAAAACGTCTCGCCACCGAGCCGGGTCCCCAGTCTTCACCATAAGTGCCATACGGCCAGCATCACTACTATACAGGACAGCATGACACCGGTAAGTTACAATCGAGCGTGGCCGTAACCGCATACCTCATAAGCAAAACGATTTGTTGATGGAGCGAATTGCCAACACAGAAGAGGTTCGGAATAATTAGGAAGTCGAGATATCAGTTGCAATTGAACTAAAGTGCATCCGGCTGTGTTCCAGGCGGTGTTCCTGGCTGTTTTGAGCGTGGCTTCGACTTCAGCCACCGCTCAATTCACCCAGGACAACGTGGCCGCCTCAGTGCCGGCGATTCGCATACTGAGCCAGAAGTTTCAGATGGACCAAAGAGGCAACTACCTGTACGCCTACAAACAGAGCAACGGCCAGATTATGAGGGAGGTCGGCAGGGTGCAGAGAGGCCCTCAGAAGGCCACAGGCTCGCTCACCCAGCAGGGCGAGTTCCAGTTTGTCGGGGACGACGGACAAACCTACCAGCTATCCTACACGGCCGACGAGGGCGGCTTCCAGCCGCAGGCGTCCCACCTGCCCGTGGCGCCGGCTCAGATTCCAGAGTATGATCTGCTGAGGCAGCAGCACCCCGAGCTCTTCTGGGCCGAACGGTTGTGAACAGAGGAGGATTATCAAAGGTCGGTGTTGTGAACCGTGTGATGGTGAATGGTGTTGTTGTTTTTTGTTTGAGTATTAGTTGAATGTTGTTCTTTTGTTTTAGCCGCTGTTTTGAGCAGGAGCGAATTTTCGTTTGTCCTATGCATTTCGAAGGAATCATAAATCCAATGCAAAGGAAAAACACTCATTTAAGGTAAACATCCATGGTCACGCTAAAATAACAAAGACGCTGCCAAATGAAGATGCATGGCTATCCTGTAGTTATACCATGGGGCCGAAAAAAAAATGGGCAACACCATGCAAGAAATGTGAGCTTGCGAAGAAAAAAGGTGAAACGTATCAGCGAGAACACGCAGAACACCAAGAATCTCGCTGCCACTTGAATACTGGTGAATTTGCGCCGACGTTTTTATAGGTTTAAACGAGGTTATCAAGGGCTAATATCATACTTAAAGTTTTCGTAACAGTTGCCTCGCTTCGATTATTTCTCAATGACCTATAGATGATAGGTGCGATATCATCATACCGCTATAAGCGCCCGTATAGTGTCCGCGTGTCTATAAAAAGGTGCGTATGACAGCGCCTGTCGGGTCACGTGGTGACGGGCGTGAGACAATACATCTCTCGCTAGTATTCTATGACCGTGATCTCTCGCGGGGACATTTCTGCACAGATCAGACATTTCTGCAGCGCAATGCCGTCAGGGCACCGGCACAGACCGTTCAGGGTCAGTCCGGACGACGCCTGGACCTCTGCCGAGAACTGGATCTCACTCCTGGCAGCCGGCCGGCCGGCGAGAGATGGCCTCACCCGTCCGCGCAGTTTTATCCGACTAACCCGGCCAGGCACGCGTTGATCACGTGTCTGCTGAATACATGTATATTTTACATACTACAGAGCGTGACACTACTGGCCTGACCATTTATGAATGGAAGCTGTTAGCTAATACAATGGCCGGGACATTATCGCACGGAAGCACGGGGGGCCACGACGCCACGTAACATGTGCACTGAAGGACTTAACCTTGCACTCGGCACACGCTGAACGTCCGCTGAACAAAGTCGCTGACATTGAGGCGGTAACCCCCGGAGCGCTGTCCTGATGGCCATGGATGAAGATCGCGACTCGTCCGAGCGTCTCAGCTGAGCTCCGACGGTCCGGACAGTAAGCCACTAACGCCGCGTACAGTCTGTACAAAAATGCCGCGCAAAGTGACGGTGGATCTATCCTACATCTATCCTGGATCCATCAAGCCTGACCGAGGAAGGGCCTGCTATAATTTGAAAGTCACCGAACCAATTGACCTGGGGAATGGACGAGGATGTCAATTGCTTCAGTGACTCAGATTAAGCAGTCCTTCCACGGTCGGGCTTGATGGATCCCCTGCACTGTTGCGCGGTACTTCTAAGACTGACTGTATGTACGTACATTGTACATAGGTACATCTCAAGGTGGAAACCGTGGGCTTAATTTTAGCCCGATGGGTGCACACGCAGCTGCTCGTCTCAGAAAACCGGGAAGCTAAACCAGCTAAACCTAACCGCTTTTTTCGGATGTCATTTTAGGAGGAATCTTTGGATGGCAGCCGAAACAAAAGACAGGCTTCCTTGAAGTTTTGAAAAGATCGTTAAAACTCGCGCCGCGACGCAATGCGTTTGATCTCTAATCACCGTTGTACGTACGAGTAACCACGCTTCCCAGATTAATCCGCGACGTCGCGGTGTTCCTATCAAAATATCTCGAGGTAGATGAGGGTATGGAGTTTTCAGACCCCATACTAAACTTTGTTCCCGTGTCAAGTGGCGACAAACGGTAAACGACTGGTCATGGTAGTTCAAGTCAAGGGTACAATCTCCGAAGGTCATCGAAGACGACATTCCTCACTTATGACACTTTTTTGACAAACTGGTCTAAAGGTAGGCAATAAACTAAAGAAGTTGAATAAATAAATGTTTTATAATGGCCGTTTTCACGACGGAACTTTCGCAGAGGAACTTATTTGATACCTAAAAAGTACCTACCCTTAGAGGCCTTAACATCCCTCAAACTGAAATATTTTATGTTCAAAATAATTTTAGAAGTTTAAATCCGGGCATTTTTTGCCCTCAAATCACTTATTTATTTACAAACACAGCAATTTTTAGTTCTAGTAGCCCACCTTTCGACTATGAGGTATTAAATCAGCGTGGCAACTTGCTCCCTCTTTGCTCCCTCGGGTATCTAATTCCGGAATTCTTAAAAACAAGGAAAGTATATATCGAGTTCTCTTTTATACCCATTCAGTTATGTTTTAATGGTGATTAAAATATGACAAATTTTTTAATTACATTTCATATAAGAAAACACGTAAAACAATGAAACAAAAATAACTACGGCAGATAATTACCTTCAGGTATCTAATTCCGACCAATCAGCACCTCAGTAGGATATGACGTCATACAAGAATGGTGGTGATGGCCGTTTGCAGTCCCGGCCGGTAGGTCACGTGACCGCCGGGCGCCTCGGGTCACGCGGCGGTCGGGAGTCGGACGCGGGGCGTGGTCGCGGGCGGACGCGCGGGGCATCATGCTTTGCTTTGCTTGCTTTGTCAACTTCATATAACTTACTATCGCATTCGTGTGAAAGCCAAACACTGCTCAG